CAAAATTTATTAAGGAAATAGACGAGATCTTTCGGGCGTAACCCTTTATCAAGTCAGTGATATATATATATATATATTTCTGCTCTTTGCAAGACCGTATCTGTTTTAAACAATCTCAGAATGTATAAGCATTAGAGTTTCACCTAAGTCGACCTCACTAAAGCCCTGTCTGTAGGTCCGATAGGTGCCTTGTAAGGTTAGGCAATTATCTTGCACTGGGCTCGTTACCAGCTCGCTACGACGCTGCATAGTCCTAAAAATAATACGCTTCTGAACTGGGAAACAATTCAAATTTTGAAAAAGAGGAGTTGTATCAGTGACGTGTGTGTCCTTCTGGGCTCATAACTCAAAAACAACTGGACCAATCTATTTTAATTTTTACTCACTGATTCGGGTTTGATGTTGATTAGAGCATCTGCAATGCTTCATCAAGATATTCAAACTGCGTGAAAAATTACACCAACACTGGGTTAAGGCTATGATCCGGGTACACTTGGGGCCCCTTTCGGCTTTGGACCATGAGAACTCATAGGCGTTATACGCCATGATGCATAGTTATTAGAACAGTTATTAGATATAATGTAAAATAACAAAATATACTTACTTAAATCACAATAGGAACCACTAGCACTAATTCCATCGGGACAATGGCACCGTGATGATGGAAAGGTACTACTACTAGATGTACAAAATGTATTGTTCAGACATTCCATATAATCACAGTCATACACACCTGTTATTAATTAAAATCAGTTATATTATACATATGAAAATTAACTATTATCTTCTTCATTGTGATCATTTCTGATATTTCCTAATAATGTTTATGTTAGCGATACCAAAGCTCTGACCTACTTGGAATGACATCAGCTTTGGTATTTCCAGGGAACTGTGCATCTACTTTTGGCTATGAATAAACCCTGAATAAACAACTTGTAGTTATATTTATTACGGTATAAGATTGATTTGAATAACAGATACCAGCATAATTTTTTTGTTATAATTTTAGTCAATCATGCACAATCTCTTTTTAAAAGTTAGTTAAAAAGTTAAAAAAAATATTTCACTTTTGACAGAAGTTGTTAGTAGAATTCCCCCATTCTAAAAGCAGTGAAGCTAACATTAATGCCAGCAGGATGTAACGTACCTAATTTATAGATGATTATCTATTCTAATTCTTTCCTAGAGAATCATCTATAAATTAGGTACGTTACATCCTGCTGGCATTAATGTTAGCTTCACTGCTTTTAGATTATGATATGTTATTTACAGAAGATTTTTTATTATAGGCCTATATTATATATATTTTATTTCTTGTATTTTGTTATATTCCATCCGTATACAGAATAGGCTTCCTGTCTGTATGACTCATTCTGATGGCTTTTGTTTTAGATTTGATTCAGTTCACGCCCTTTATTGTTCCTTGTAGCTCCCTAGCTACT